CAATATAACTCAAAATTATTGTGATCTTTTGGACATTTTTTTTCTTAAAATTGTTCAAGGTAATTTTCTGAATCTGAACCATCCAATCCGCTGTGAGAGGAGATCGAATTCGGGGACTTTCAAACTTTTTTGAATCGTCGTTTTTCACTCATTTAATTTGTGTTTTAATTTTTCATGTTTCTGGGAAAAATTTGGGGGCAAGATTTTAGATAGAATATTCAAAGTATTGACAGCAACAGGGATAAGGTTTGGGGGGTGGGAGAAAGTTCTCAAATTCTACTTTCTGTTGATGGAGTAGATTTAAGAACTTTCTGTCAACCCAAACCGCTCGTTTTTCCCCGAATCTTCGCTTTATCTGGCCTCTCTTGTTGAGTTAGCTGCACCCATCAAGTAAGTAATGGCATAATTTTCGTGGTACCTAAACCACAAAAATGCGATTATTTTTCCAGGAGCTCCGACAACCTATTTCGGAATTGCCCAAAAACCCATCAGGGAGTATAGTCAGTGAGAAATACGGAAAAAAAGGGCTTAACCCGGAACAAATTGCATAACAATTTTTTCCTGTGTAAACGTCATCAGTAGGTCCTCCTGAACAACATACAAAAAGTTTACCAAGGTCCGACCCCGGAACACCCCCCAAAATGACGAAAATTCAAAATGGCGGCCATAATAAGGGCCTATGGAATTTCGGTATTTTAAAATGTTCCTATAGTGTCATGTGAGGTTTCATTTCCTATGTAATTTTGGTCGCAGATTTCATTTCTGAAGTCCGAAAAGCCCCTAGGTCAAAGGGGGTGACCCAAATCCAAGATGGCGGCCAAATTTGAAAGGCGAGAGGGTCATTTTTCAACTTTTACGTGATTGGGCAAGTGAGGTGTCGTTTCCTATGTAATTTTGGTCGTGCATTTCATTAATGATGTCAAAACAGCTCCCCGACCGAAGGGGGTGCTCTGAATCCAAGATGGCTGCTAAATTTGAAAGCCAGGAGGGTGAATTTTCTGGATTTTTACGTAAAAAATGCGAGTGAAAAGTTCAAATTCTTATGAAATTTTGGTTGTAAATTTCATGTCTCAAGTCAAAAGAGCCCTCCAGCTTGTAGAAAGTGCCCAAAATCCAAGATTGTGGCTAAATTTGAAAGGCGGATGGGTGCATTTTTGAAAAAAAATTCACCGAACAAGGCAAGGAAGGTGACTATTCCGTGTAAATTGGTCAATGAACCGATTAGGTGCTTAAATTTTATTTAATAAAACAAAAAGGAAAATAGTAATTCCGAAAGAAATGTTACCTCAAGAACGCGCTTTCGCTCTATAAAATTAACAAAAGGCAAAACATACTTGTTCCCAATTCTATTACGTCTTCAGCATTCCTTGACAACCTCTGCAAGAGGATTATTCGGTTTTTATTCGCCCATTTCCTATTACTGGACGCAGCATGGACTTAATTAAAAGCGACTTATCCTGCTTCGGCACACTCTTCTAATTTAAGGAGTACGGTGGTGGTGCGGCGGTACGTATGGTGGAAAGAAAGCAGATCTTGATATCGTTGATAGCTTGCATAAGCACCAACATCATTGTAATAGGAGAGGATCCGAACCTATTTGTTTTTTTGTTAAATTGATCACAAGGCGTCAATTTTTCTTTGTTCTTTAGAAGGGATATTAAACGCTAAATCTAAAACTATCGCTCACAACATCCCTTACATCCGTCACAGATTTAGTCAACGTTTATGTAAGCAGCTCCTGTTCTTGAATGAGTTTGCTGGTTGCGAATTGACCTCTCACATGCATGGAATCAGAAAAGCAACTGGAAATCTGAAAAATATGTAACAATACCTCTCTATGATGCCAAAAAAATGAGACTTTCAAAAACGTAAGTCATCAGGTTTTCAAGGAAGAATTTGCAGCTTCCAAAATCTTCGTCACAAGTAGAGAAATTAATTCTGACATTATCAGCCATGAAGCACCATCAATTTAGGAACTCCTTTCGAAACCAATTGATGACGAATAAGCCGATCCAGATGCTTGTCAATGGGCATGAATGAATGAAAACAACTAGCTTCATTCCATTTTCTACTGACTTGCCTCCAGCTCCGGAATCGCTGCTCCATTAAATCTTCGAGTGTAATTTTAAGAAAGGATTTGACACCAGTGTACTTGTAAGATCATGCCCGGACTTCCGTAGGAGCAGAAGTTGTGAAGACTCGGACTCCAACTGTAAAAACTCGGAGAAAACCGAGGCAGATAGTCCTGACAAGCCTGACACAGGATTTGAATCAGCACACTCTTGCAGATTTTCTCCTATTTATTGACTAAAGTAGATCCGTCACGTTCAATGTCCTCATCTTGATTGAGAATTGATGACCTTAAAAATGAGCAAAAATAACTCATTCAGTGCTCCTATTAAATACATTTCATACCGTAAGCAGGCACGATGGTCACTATCTTGCATGACATGTCTCATTTTTTAGTAAAACTCATCTTTTACATTTAATTTAGACTGCTTCGCCAAAAATACACGGAATGGTTACCTTCCTTGCCTTGTTCGGTGAATTTTTTTTCAAAAATGCACCCATCCGCCTTTCAAATTTAGCCACAATCTTGGATTTTGGGCACTTTCTACAAGCTGGAGGGCTCTTTTGACTTGAGACATGAAATTTACAACCAAAATTTCAAAAGAATTTGTGCTTTTCACTCGCATTTTTTACGTAAAAATCCAAAAATTCACCCTCCTGGCTTTCAAATTTAGCCGCCATCTTGGATTTAGAGCACCCCCTTCGGTCGGGGAGCTGTTTTGACATCATTAATGAAATGCACGACCAAAATTACATAGGAAACGACACCTCACTTGCCCAATCACGTAAAAGTTGAAAAATGACCCTCTTGCCTTTCAAATTTGGCCGCCATCTTGGATTTGGGTCACCCCCTTTAACCTAGGAGCTTTTCGGACTTCAGAAATGAAATCTGCGACCAAAATTACATAGGAAATGATACCTCACATGACACTATAGGAACACTTTAAAATACCGAAATGTGTGACAGCTCGTTCGAAAGAGCATAAAAAAAGAAAACTTTTCGCGCAAACCCGAAGTCTCAATATCTCAAACCGTTTCAAAATGGTGGCCGGTTAAAGTTCAAAATTGCCGAAATTTCACACCGGTTATTTGTCGATGGATTTGCGCGAAAATTGGTATGTACAGGTATTTTGACAAGAGGAAAACGAATTTGACGTTAGATTTTCAAAAAATCCAAAATGGCCGCCGGTTAAAGTTTAAAATGGCCGAAAATTTTCACCTTGGTTTTTTCCTGATGGATTTGCCTAAAACTTGGAATTTGAGAGTATTTTGGCATAATATAAACCATTTGAACTTAGATTTATAAAAAAATAAATTTTTGGTCATTTTGAACTTTAACCGGCGGCCATTTTGGAAATTTCGGTTTTTTGAAAATCGAACGTCAAATTCGTTTTTTTCGTGTCAAAATAGCCCTGCATACCGATTTTCGCGCAAATCCATCGACAAATAACCGGTGTGAAATTTCGGCCATTTTGAACTTTAACCGGCCGCCATTTTGAAACGGTTTGAGATATTGACTTCGGGTTTGCGCGAAAAGTTTTCTTTTTTTATGCTCTTTCGAACGAGCTATCACAAAGGGGGTCTTCCCATTTGAAAATTTAAAGTTGGGGGCCGTTGCCCCCCCCCCCAAGAGGGGCCCCCCTGAGGATTTTAGGGGGCCGAAAAGTAGCTCCCTTTGACCTAGGAATATCCCCCAAGTTTCAAATCTTTATCTCAATTAGGTAAAAAGTTAGAGGGGGTGGAAGGGACTTTTGGATCACCCTGTATATACACACTGGGATCTAACGAAACTTTGCGACCGTTTTTCTCTGGAGCTATCGATACGATCAAAACGAAACTAAGTATGGTTCTTCACTGCTATGTGGTCTACGTCAAGTTACGGTTTTGGTAAAAATCGGCTCATCCCTTAGTTCAGTAACGTCAAGGTCACTGGGGGATGATTTTTCAAACTCGTCCGATCTTAGTCGGCTATACCTTAAAACACTCGTTTCGTCGTGGCCTTCAAAACAACCTATATTCACCCACCCTCTAAAATCGCCCTTTATCCTGAAAATCTCAAGTTCAAGGGGGATGATTCTCCGACCTGTCAGGCTCATTAGGCGCAACTGTTTTCATGGAAACGAGTAGTCGAAATCTACTTTTCGTTTCCACTGCGGCTGGAAAGCGTTATTTTTTAGGGATAGTGTAGTTTCCATAGATGTAGAGCTTGTCCAAAAGCAAAACATGCGTCTGCGGGAAGTGGTGGGAGACAGGGGAACTGGAAGATGCAGGATGCGGGCCGCGCACTGCCCGCAGAAATTCGGTGGTTCGCTGGCACCTGCGAACCACTACTGTAGGAATCAGCTGGACTGATGAGCGGCCCTTCTCTCCTCGTTCTTCCTCCCCGCTCCCTTTTCTCTCTATGTTCACTCTTCGAGCGCGATCCGCACTCGTCTCCGAACCCTATGCTCCCACTACGCTCTGCACACCGCGCCGGCGCCTCTCTTCTCTCGTGTACCCCTTCACAGGTTCTCTCTCGTCACCGAACGTAGATCATAGGTAACGCGGGACGGGCAGCTCGTTCCCCTCTCGCTCTCATCCAGGTTTGGTAGCCGGTGCGGACCCCGTGTCGCAGAATTTTCTCTCTCTTCGCCGTGCCGCATGCCGCTGTCAGAAGCCAAGCGCCTGATTTTTATTTGTGGTCTACTATTCTGTATTGTTTCTCACATTCTTAGCCATAATTTATTAATTGTTCCAAAATATTTTAGGGTGTTCGGCGAACACTGCGAACCTATGGACGCCACGCCACTGTTCTAACTCTCACTTTTTATCTATAAAAATCAAAATTTAAACTATCTATAAAGATCAAATTTTAAACTATCTATAAAAATCAAATTTTAAACTTATTGAACATTAACGAAAGGACGAGAAGGATACCCCTAGGATCTTACCTAGTCATTTCATCTGTGAGCAAACTTACTCCAGATACATAGTACATAACCCTCAAGTAAAGACTCATGTCTCGAGCATGTTTGTCCAGTTGCCGTTTCAAGGGTCTTTCCATTTCCACCCATCGAGGGTAACCTTGCCGAGATATATACCGTAACCCAAAGAACTCCGGCTAGAATTATAAACATAAAGTATACAGAGTTAAAACCACAAACAATTTTCAAAGGTTTTCCTTAGTGATTATCGAAGAAAAATACATACATTGAAGTTCTAGATAGAATCACTAAACCAATGGTTTAATAAATTCCTGACTCTTTAAAAAATGCGCAACCCTATTGTTCCCTTTATATACACTGCCTTTTGAAAAAAGACCCCTAGACTCACTCTCACTCTTCAAGTTAGTTAGAAGTATTCCATCCGCATTAGAAAGTTTTACATGCATTTTTACTGCAGCAAATTCATTAATAGCTCTTTGCCGTAGGAAAGTTTCCTTGATGATGAGATGGACCACTTCATTCAGAAGCATTTCCTTTGAGGTTCATACAACAGCATTACTTATAAAAGCTGAAAAAGCACATGCAAATACTCAAATAGGGCGCTAGGTACAAGGCATAAACTAAAGCTCTCCAATGCATGATTCCTCCTCAGAATTTAAAGACCAAAATGATTCACGCTGCCGGAAGTGTGGAAATTAACTCCTTACAAGGATGTAAGTATTTCCTACTAACTTATATGGCAAAAATACAGACAACATCAGTTATGAGAGGACCTTGTACACTTCTTACGTGAATGTGTACAACGATGGATTTCCAATTTTTCTATTGCATTTAACTCGTCTTTTGATGCTGATCAGAAATCATTATTGCGCCAACTTTCTACAAGGCACCGTTTTTGCACAATTGGTGGTGGACAATTTCGATAATTACTAGAATAAGTGAGGCCAGGATGGCTTTATCTACCCTTCAGCACTTGCTGAAAACGAGGAAAACCTGGCAGTCTTATCTCGGATTCCACACGCCTTTTCGTTTGATTGTCCAAATCAAATTCTTTCTATTTCCCACTTATTTCCTTGCCCATCACTGACTGAGGTTTTTCTTGTTCAATAGGCCACGCTGGGCTCACTTATTCAAGTAATTATCGAAATTGTCCACCGCGCTTGTGTGGAAACGGTGCCTCGAAGAAACTTGGCACAAGGATGACTTTTGATCAGCATCACAAGACGAGTTTGATGCAGTACAACAATTTGGAATCGATCAAGGTACCCATTCCCAATAGGAGTGTGTGGGATCCTAAGTGATTGATTTGATCAGTGTTGAGTGTAAATTTTAATTACTGATTACCAAACTTTTCATTGCATGAACTGCGCTCTACTTGAAATTTGGACAAACAATCAAATTACAGGGTGCTGTAATCCATGACTTGATTGGTAGCCCATTGAATACCATAGCTAGATTTTACAATAGGAAACCGCTGACTAAACTTTGATTTATACAGCTTCACGATGTCATGACTTGAAATTTTTTTGCATGCAAGCAAGATTTTTTTTGGGACCATTAGCATTATATCCCTAATTTACTGAATAATGGACCACTAGACAAGGTACGAATTTAAGCATTCTGATACATGTTTTTTGACCAAAGTTTCATGTAGAACACAATGCGCACAACAAAAATTACCAAAATCAACTCCTTACGAAGATATTCAATGATTCCTGATGCGTGAATTCAAACCACCCGCTCAATAAAACTCAATGCTTTACATGATTCACATCGCGCATTGAATATTATCGTGACAGTCTCTGCGATATGAAAATCTGGCAACCACACTTTGACGCTTTGGCTCAGCTATAGCAAATCGCTTATAATTTGAACAACAAATGGTGGGAAATGAGCAGTGCTCGATTGAGAGGCTTGCTGAAACTGCTGTAGTGCGCGATTTGACTCACGTAGAGCTTTGAGTTTTTTGTGAGTGGGCAGTTCAAAATCCGCGTAACCAATGTGAAATAAAAAGGTTAATATCTTCGTCAGGAGTTAGTTTCAGTAATTTTCGTTGCGCGAATCGTGTTCTATGTGAAATTCTGATTAAGATACATGTATCAGAATGCTTGAATTCGTGCTTTGTCTAGTGGTCCATTATCTTAAGCCTATTCTCTGTCCGTTATGCAGTAAATTCTAACTTTCCTTAGTTGCAAATTACAATAGAACTGGACATTGATCACTTATTCCTCCTTACATCAATTGATCCATAAATCATGATTGATTTACGAATATCAAGATGAACTGAACACTGTGTCTCAATGTCTAAAAATGAAAGATGAAGTCATAAAACCATAAAATGGCAGGAAAAGTTGGCAAAAAATTAATTGATGGTCAGCATTATAGTCTGTCCAAGATGCGAATAACCGTGGAATATTTTAAATTAACTGTACTATTTTAAAGCAAGGCAGAGTTGAAGCCTTTGGTGCAGGGTTTGCATTGCCTGGATGACTTGACTAGGCTTCGACGCTACCTTGCTTAAACATACTGCAATTAATTTTAGATAATCCCCGATTCTTCCTCTCTTGGACAGACTATAATGCTGACCATCAATTAGTTATCTGAAAGGGGGAGGGGGGATCTTTGGAAAGTGTATCATTTTTGAGTTTTTTGAAATCCGAAAAGCACTATCTCTAAAAAGTTTCTCTCTGGTGTAAAAAAAACATACTTTTTGAAAAGATCCAAAATTTTAATTTTGGATTTTTTAAATTTTAAATTTAAATTTTAGTTTTGAGTCACGAATTAGAGTCTCACCAGGGTACCATAAATGGTTTGATAGTTTTCTTAAAGCTAACGTGACAGCGATGCAATCATTTTTTTTTGTAATTAGGAAGGTAGTGATGAAATCTTGTACCAACAGGATATGCACGATTCTTGGTCTTTAATCTTTTTCAGGTGGATGCGCACGGCTCTCAACTCGCTAAAAATGTAAATGCTCAAAGATCATTTTGAAATGACAAGAGAGGGATCGAAAGGCTCACAAAAAGTGAACTTGTTCTTTGTAACAAGGTACATAAGATCATGGTTCCAGTGCCCATCTCCAGTCGGTGCACCGAAAAACGACTTCTTATTAGGTTTCATCACTACCTTCATGATTACAAAAGAAAAAAAAATGATTGCACCGCTGTCACGTTAGCCTTAAGAAAACTATCAAACCATCAACTATCAAACCCTAGTGAGACTCTAATTCCTTTAACTCTACTCGAATTTGTTCTGCGACTTTTCACAGAGGAAAAAGAGCCTTGCATCCTCAATTTGACGAATAATCATGGCCTTCCTAACCCCCCTCATCGTAAATGCTGCTAAATCCCTTTACGCTAAGGAATGTCCCACACTACCCGATCTTTTTACAATTAGTAGCAAAACGCTCTTCAGTATTTTACATATTCCAGACAGTTACCTTTTTGTTTCACCTTTGGAGTGAGACTATCATCCTGACTACTTGAAGGCGAGGAAAGTTGTAAAAAGTTTGCGAGTGATCAACGATTCCGCCAGAAGGGCAGTTCAACACATGCAAACATGAAGCCGATCAATGACTAAAAAAGAGGATGAATATCAAGATTTGCCATTAACTTCTCAAAATGCCAAAAAGGAAGTGAACTTGAAAAAGAAAATCAAAAGCCCGTAAATTCTTGAAGTGTTTGTGATCCTTACATGTCTGAATAAACCCAAGTATTTTTGCTAAATGTGTTTTACCTCCGTAGCATAATTAATTCCCAATAATTTTGGAATTTTTCAAAAAGTATGTTTATTTTTAAACCAGAGAGAAACTTTTTAGAGGTAGCGCTTTTTGGACTTCGAAAAACTCAAAAATAAGACACACCCTTGGGATCTTGCAGATTTTGCATATCTACAGCTACACCTCTTTTGAGGAAACAACCAGAAGGTCAGAATTCAGCCTTGGACTGATTGGTTGCCAAAACAAAGATTATGATTGCACCTTAACATTTGACAAACCTGCCCATTGCAAGCTGACTCATAACAGAGGACAAATGGAACAATAGGAGGAATTGGACGTATTTCTGCCAAACGGAACTATGTGCATTAAGCCATGAGCCCCGAGACCCATAAGAATATATGTGTCACAGGGCTCTCGTCATAATGCACATAGTTCCGTTTGATAGAAATATGTTCAATTGAATACCAGCATGATAGGAGCGTCTTTCATCTGCGTTTCTGCCGGAGGAAAATAATGCAAGTCTGTGGGCAAACTAAGGAGTAGAATCAGCGGATTTCAATAGCAGGTCTCCATTCTCAGTTCTTCATACTCTTTGGTTCTCAAAGTTTCATCGATTGTAGCAGGGCGTCCTAGTTGAAAATGATCTCACCTGCACTGTTCTTTTGCTCATTGAGCTAGGTTCAATGAAATCGAGGAAGAAAAGCTTCTTACTTGCCAGTTAGGGAGCAGTGTATTTAGGAATTAGTTTGCTATTGAGTTTCTATTTCATGACAGCGAGAGGGAATCTTCACCAATCTGATTACTTGCCATTTAGTGGACAACATGACATGATTGACTAGGAGCTCTTTCTCTTCACACAAAATCGCCAATTTCGCCGTAATCCAGTGCTCAGTGACTGAGCGAAATCCATCAACGTCTGGCCAGTCTGACCCTCCAATCTGATGGTGACAAAACGGAGCGTCCTCCATTAAGATATTCTACCAATAAGGCACCAACAGACTGAATCCATGCAAGATCAATTGGCAGATTCATCAGCGTTTTCCACCGACGTAAGAAAACAACAAAAGACACTCCTTCAGTTAACATTCAAATCCAACTCTAGAGGGCAGCTGAAGTGAAAACTTAAGCCACCCTTATCAAAAGTTAACAGAAGTTTCATATTAAGTATAAATTTTTCTGACAAACTGGTGGAAAGGTTGTCACAAAAATGATAAAGTGTGAATTGTGCATGATAATTTGAGTTTGGAGGCATTTTCACCAAAATTTTACAGAGAACTTGAGGAGGGCAAAGAAATTTCAAAGTGTGTACCTAAAGCTTTGTTTCAGTTATTTGATTCAAAACAGTAAACTACATTAGACAAGAATGTTCACCTGTTGCAAACCAAGTCTTTGACAGACATTGTCAAGGCATTCTCTTCCAATACTTTCCGATGTCAGAGTGCATTCAATCGAAGTGCTGTCCAACAGCTCAATGCAAATGACGAAGAGCGACTTTGATACAACATTGTATTGGCGGCTTTTCTTCAGTCGTAGGCGAAAAGGCATGTTCTATTCCCTAAAAGGGAGGAGAAAATCAAATGCAAAGGATAAACCGAAAAAAGTCAGATTCATTAAAATTACCCTTCTAGCAAACAAAGTTTTGTGCTTTTGTGTGATCCTGCAATAATTTGAACAGGGCCGGATTTACAATGCTGCCGCCCTCTGCCAAAAAAATTTAGTCCCCCCTACGTTCTGAAAGTGTTGACTTCTGAAGACTTGAAAAGCAAAAAAACAAAACATAACAGGAAGCTCTAATACGTAAGTATTACAGAGGCACTCAGGGGTGGTTGTCATAAAATTAATTCTACAGCAAAAACTTTTCAAGAAAATTCACTGGAAGAGGAAATTAAGAGGATAGCCAAATTTTTCATGGATCAGTATTAATAATTGAGTGATGACAGCCTTTCACCAAAACTTTCATCTTACTTTATATTTAGGCTAGTTAAGTACATTCAAAATGAATTTATATACTTTTGAGTTATAGATCACTTCAAATCAATTCCATTTATAAAAATAACTTGAGTGGAGCTATGTAATGATTAGGATACCTACTTAAAAACACAGAACAATTCATCTTGGATTTACCATGGTTAGTTACCATGAGGCAACCATACTGTTTAATTTGGCTGATTCTAGGGCTATTCAGTTTAAAAAGGGGGTATTTACATCTTGAGGATTGTTTACCCCAAGATGTACGAAAGAACAATATGGCGTCGATATTTCTGCAAAATACAAAACTGAAAGTGTGAACAATGGAACATAACATCCGATTTCTTTGCCTGGATCAACTCATAATATACTTTAAAACACTTTATATTGAATTCCTTATATCCATAGGCAACAATATATAAAAAAAACTAATGATAGAAACCATCCGTGCCGACCTACATCATCAAAAAAATCCAAGATGCCTGAAATGCGAACACCTCATTTCTTCTCTCCATGTAGGAACAGAACTGGGGAAAAAGAGAGTTAACAGAAGTCACATTGACCTGAATGCAAGCCTAAATTATCAATTAGCCCATTGGTTGGCAAATAAATTTCTGTTCATTGCTGCCATTTTTTTATGTGACACTCGCCCTGTCTTTTCTTTCCCCAATTCTAATGAAAGAGCAATTTTTGGGCTGCTGAGAATTCTGTACTAATGCAATGGCTGTACAGTGCTTACTTATGCTTCTCTGTGATACGAAATAGCATGCATGTGAATTCATCAATTTTAGCTCTAAAACTGCAGGAAAGCACTTCTTACAAGTAGTGCTCTTGCAGGAGATACAGACTAGAGTACCTGTACAGCGAGAGTATAGACAGGTGTGAAGCTCTGAAAATCCATCAGGCCTTCACTGATACCTCCGCAAATAGAGTAAGGGCCCAGAAATGCAGCCAACCTATGAATTTAAATTATCCAGAGCGATTTATTAATACAATTGTGACGAACCTTCGTTTATAAAGCACGTATTTGACTTAGTTTGTGCATAAATTTACTCATTTTAGTGGAAGAAAGCTCATTTATGTTCTTTCTTAGCCATCTTTGTTAGAATTCGAATCTACTCTACAGACTGGCAGTGCAATTTAGAAGTTGGTTAGAAGGGTGGCTGCACTTTTGGGCCCTAAGCCCTCCATCTGTCCATACTCTCGCTATACAGGTAATCTAATGCAGACAGCAGCCTTGAAAAATTGGCGACACTGGAGGCAGAGATTGAGTAAATTAAAGCAACTTTCTAGGGCTGCCCCGATATATTTGATGAAAGCAATAGCAAAAATGTCACCGAGCATTTTGCAAAACTGAGAAACTTCGGCAAAATTATCAACTCTGTAGATGAAGACTTACCCAACTTAGCCCCAGATGTGCTCAGCTTAGGAGCTGGATGACTACTTGATTATACCACTCACTGTGATAATTAGTGCTACCAAGAGAAAAACTTGATTGAAAAATGAGGAAGGCATTAATCTGAGAATGATCAAGCACACTTGCATGTTAACCGTCTGTTCATCACAGCTCCCTGGGAAGGAAAATTCTGTGACATGCTGAAATAACCTAAAAATCAAAATCATAACAACCACAGATTAGTCCAGATCGCGAGTGAACAGATTGGATTGAGCGTTTTTGCAGGCAAAGACCCCCTACGATGTGCAGGCGATCACAGAGCGGGAGTAGCTGGTGGAGCGTGCGTGCAGCTCGCTCGGACTCCATGATTCTGCTCTGTTGCTCTCTCCTCTCCCCTACTCTTTGCTCCTAATGGCGCCAAGCACTTTCACTCGCGGAGAAAAATTAAACTGCTCAGCTCAGGGAATTGGCATTTTTTATTGAGATTAAATTTCTAAACGAGTCCAACCCAAGTCAACCAGGGTAATTCTCAAAATACTTTGGCAAGATATTTTTCTGATATAATTTAAGGATATAATATAATTATTGACATAATTATTATGATATAATTTATTTAAGGATTGAGGATGGAGAATCTTTAGAATTTATGGAGAAATCACAAGCTTGTGTGGGGGCCCCAGCGTTCTGAGGCATTGAAATTAATCTTAAACGTACCTATTTACATTTTGAATTTTGGTGGAAAATACGGGGGGGAGGGGGGCTTTAATTTATATCTGAGCCATGTATGTTTGATTAGAGGATTTACT